CCCAGCCACTAGGCAAGCTAGCCCCGTGTTCTCTCTGCTGCGTGGCCCAGCCCAGCACTCCACACGCCCCGGCCAGGCCCATGCGGGGAGCTCAATAACCTCTCTGCCCCCTGCTGGGCACTCCAAGTCCCCACCTCCTCCTCCACCCCCCCAGGCTGGCTCTGGGTCAAACCATGCAAGAGCAGATGCTCCACCTCGCAGGCCCAGCAAACTCCCTCCTCCGCTTTCCCAGCTGCCCCCCCCCTTCCCCAGCATTTCTCAGCTGCAGCCCACTCAGAGTCTCCCTGGCCCCGGCTTGCTTACCTTCCATTCCCCTTCCTTCTTCAAGCTGCGAATGACGCCGCTGAGGATCTCTGTGAGGGGACGACACACGGTTAGTGGCAGGGCCTAGGGGGACAGCTGCTCCCTGAGCCAGGCCTTTGGGGACAAGGCTGCTCCTTCAATCTCAGGCCAGCTTGTGATGCGGTGCCGGCTGAGCCCCCCTCAGAGATCACGGTTGGGGACTGACCCGCGGGGGCAGGATCCCAGGATAGATGGGCTCTTGGATGTGCTCCCCCCCGCCTGGCAGGCTGGACAGGAGCACAGCTGAACAAAGGATCTGGCAGTGAGCAGACCCTGCCCAGCACCTCTCCCCTGGCGGGATCCCGAGACCCTCGTCTGCGTGGGTGGGGTGGCAACACTACAGACATCAGACCCTGAGTCCTGCACATGGAACCCCTCCCAGACACGGCCCCGTCAGGGCAGCTAAGTAACGAGAGAGTCAGCGGAGCCAAGGGCCGCGTACCTGTTGTGCCCAGACAACGGGACCCTGGATCTGGACCCGGGCTCCCAGGTGCTGCTATACTTCACTTAAGGTGCAGGGCCCAGCACAATGGGGCCCTGGCCCCAGACTGGGGCTCCTGTAATACCTCTAGTGAATAACGTACAGCACCTAGCACGGTGGGGGGCCTGACTCCTCACTGGGGCTCCTAGGCACGGAGTCAGTGTTCCCTGAAAGCTGAGCGCTTGGCGCCACTGTGAGACACCTGTTTGTTCTGCCCCCAAATGCACCTGATTCTGGCTGGGCCGTAGGACTTGGTTCCAGATGGCTGGTGGAAATTCACTCACCAGCTGATAGTGGTGTCGCCTGCAGCCCCCTCCCCAACTCTAACCGCTGTCAAAGCCAAGCCACGCTCCTGTCCAAAGCGGCTGGGGCCATCGCGCTGGCCAGCCCCCAGCAGCCTGACCTGCATTCCCCAAACCAGTCCCCAGCGCCTGAACAGGTGCAACAAGAAACTCAGGCTTGGCTGCAAGAGGAGGAGCTTTAACTCCTCCAGGGCCTGCCGGGGGGACGAGGCACGTTAGACAGACGGACGGACGGGGCTGCTGACACAAACCTGCTCCCCTCCCCCTCTGCCAGGGTATGGGACAGGGCCTTCTCATCACCTGATCAGCAAGGGGCAGTGCTGAACTGCCCTGCCCCTCACCACATCCCCAAGACAGGAGACTCCACACCGCCTCTCCAGGCAGGCCCCCCGCCCACTCAGGAGCCTGCAGCAGCTGCACAGCAATAAGGAGCAATAACAGCTCATCTTTGGCAGGGTGGCTTTTCAGAGCAGACAGTGGCCCATTGCCTCCCTTAGCTCCGCTGCGGCTGCCCCCCTGGGGACAGCTGGAGCCCTGCTGCCTCCCCGTGAGGCACAGAGGGGGAAGGAGAGCCAGGGCCGGCATGGTGGGGCTCCAGCTGCCCCCTTTATCCCACCTCCCAGCAGCGCAGAGCTCTTCTGCATGAGACCCAGCAACTCTTCAAGAACACACAGCTCGTGCCTCCCCAGGGGGTCTGCCCCAAGGCTGCCCTCCCAGAGACTGGGGTAGAACCCAGCCACCCAACTCTAACCACTAGACCCTACTCCTCTGTGTCGACGTGTCGGGGGTCCCATGATGCTGCACCCCTGTAGCAGCAAGAACAAACAAGCCAGCAGCATAGAGGGGGGTTAGTGCTTCTCCAGGATACAGCCCAGCCCAGACGTGATGTGTCTACAGGATTCTGGGCCAGGATGCCTCAGCCCCCCTGAGATGGGGTCCCTGGGCCCCTAGATTCCAGCCCCAGACTCCCTCCCCCCCATGCTCACTTCCTTGTCCATCCCTTCCCTTAACCCGTAGGACCGGTTCAGTGTGGGGGGGGGGAAGCCTCAAGGAGCCCCACGCTGAGCCGTGCTTACAGACAGAGGCCAGCAGGGGTCATCCACAGCCCAAGCACAGCGACCAGCACGGTACTGACACATCCCATCCCCCCCCAGGCGGCTGGAGGCCCAGTCCCCCAGACCCAGACCCCTCCCAGAACCCCAGAGTCCAGATTTCTTCAGCAGCAGCCCCAAACTCTGACAAGCCGCTCAGGAGCCCCACGCTGAGCCGTGCTTACAGACAGAGGCCAGCAGGGGTCATCCACAGCCCAAGCACAGCGACCAGCACGGTACTGACACATCCCATCCCCCCCCAGGCGGCTGGAGGCCCAGTCCCCCAGACCCAGACCCCTCCCAGAACCCCAGAGTCCAGATTTCTTCAGCAGCAGCCCCAAACTCTGACAAGCCGCTCAACCTTCCCCGCTGCCAAACCAGGCGCTCGCCACGTGGAACAAGCCTCGTTAGCCATCGCCACCGAACAATTCCTCCCAAATCCAGGCCTCAAACGGAACGAACTCAGAAATCCCGCCTCCTTCCTCCCCGCCCGCCACTGATCTGGATTTGGGACATTAAGAATGCAACGACGGGGGAGCTCAGACCCTCCAGTCCCGCCTCC